TTTTTTTTGGTACCAGGGATCGGACTCAGGATCTTGTGCTTGCAAGGCAGGCGTGGTGCCCCTGAGCTAAATCTCCACCCTCTTTCTCCTTTTTGTATCTGTACTTTAATATACCTACTCCGTCTCTCTTACTGAAGTCATCTCTCTTACCAAAAACGTGCCCATCCTTGATGGTCCAGCCCATCAATCACTGGCCTCCAGAGGCTTCTGTGGCTTCCTGGTAGGAAGTGTGACTTCTTGTTCCGAGCTCCTGGCTGTGCTGTGATGCCCTCGCAGCCTCTGTCACAGTCTCTCTGGTGGCATCATTATTTACTAGCATGTCTGAGATTTTACATTCATCTTTAGGTTTCTTAAATAGTTCTAAGCTTATGTTTTTACCCTGCGTGAGGCCAGGCAAGAGGCCTAGTAGGCGATCAGCAGGTGGTGATGGGTGTGGGAGAGAAGGAATTTAAGAGGCAAAGGGTATCTCAGTATCAGTGGCAGCTGCTGCCCTCTCTGCAGGCATAAGGGAAGCCTTTGCCTTGTATTTGAAATGTGTGTTTGTGTCTGATAAAGAGGCCTAGAAGCTTCTTTTGAAGTTTTCAGATTAGTCCTAGGCCACTAATACCAGGTCGTTGGGTCCCCAGCTCTAAAAAATGTGATTTTTATAGAAATACAATGGTACCTTGATTCACGAATACTTTTGTTTGCAAACAATTTAGTTGGGAAATAGAAGTGTTTGACAAAATTTTGATTTTGTTTGTGGACTCTATGACCTGTGACAAACACGACTGTGGCTATCTTTCCCACACAAACACAAACTTGGCCATCTTTCCAAAATTGTTGAACCAGTGACATTCGTGAGCTGAGGCACCATTGTACTAACATACCCAGCACTTAGCAGGAGCTCAGAATGGGGAATGGTCAGCTGGTAAACTGAGGAAAAGTGTAAATCAGCTCAGCAAGTGATGTCGAGAGAATCGCTACTCAAACTCTTAGATGCTCCGCTTGGGTTTTTGGTTTTTTTTGGTACTGGGGATTGAACTCTGGTCCTTGCGCTTGTGCAGCAGGCTGCGAAACCACTGAGCTAAATCCTCGGCCCTTGTTTTGGTTTTTGAGGCAGGGTCTCACTGTGTAGTTCAGGCTGGCCTTGAACTTGGTATGTAGCCCAGACTGGCCTGGAACCCTGCGGTGATCCTCCTGCCCCAGCCTCCTGAGAGCTGGGATCACAGGTGTGCACCACCATGCCTGGCAAGTGTCCTCTTTGATGCTTTTACTTATTGTGTGTGTGTGTGTTTGGGTGTGTGTGTGTGCACATGCGTGCATATGTGTGAATGCAATGAATTTGGTTGGCTTTGTCTAGATATAGTAGTATGTGGCTAACATAAGATTGTTTCTTGAAATTGGAGGTTTGGTCTTTCCTGTTGGCAGTCAGATTTAAATCCCGAGCATTTACATTTACCACTGTCTCTGACACAGGCTTGGCACTTCTTCCAGAACTTGTTCTTTTTTTTTTAGACAGAGTCTCACTACCTAGTTCAGGCTGGCATTAAGCTAGCTGTGTAGCCCAGGCTGGCCTTGAGCTTGCAGTGACCCTCCTGCCTCAGGCGTGTGCCACCACTTTGGGCAGGGGCTTGCTCTTTGACTGGGTCCCCTGCTGGCCCAAGGGACCCAGGTTGTCAGGGGTGAAGGTACCCAGGCAGCCAGTGCTGCTGGGCAGACCTTCCTGGGGACCGTTCTGGAGGCTGGAGGTTGCCTTGGGCTGTCCACCACGGCCGCCTGGGGAAGGGTGGGCAAGATCTGCTTTGGAATTTCTCCCTTCTGCTTTGGAGATTTTTATTTATCCCTGGAGCAGGAATTCCCTAACTGGGCTTCAAGACTTCTGAACTGTGCCCTTGGAATCAGAGGCCTTCAGTATTAGGGTTACAGCATTGCCTCAGAGGCCATTGCTTTTTTTGTTTGTTTAAGACAGGTTCTCCTGTTGTAGTTCAGGGTGGCTTGGCATGGCAGTGATCCTTCTGCCTCAGCCTCCTGAGTGTGAGATAAACTGGGCCTCAGACTGCATTTCCCAAGTAACCCCTCCCCCCTTTAGACTGTGTCAGCCTTTGCTGTCTGGGCCTCCCCTCCCTGCCCCCAGGCCCTCTCTGGTCTTAGCTGCTAGGAGTTCCTGTGCTTCCTAGCGAGGGCTGGGGCTGAAGCACAGGGCTGAGGCTGGATTTGTGCAAAGGGCGAGGTGACTAAGGAAGAATGAGGAAGTTGGGGGCTGGGCTTGCTGTGAGCCTGACCAGGCAGGGGAGTGATGAGCCGGAAGGGTGGGGTGGTTGGAAATCTGTAGGCAGGGCCGGGGATTTAGCTCTGTAGGCAAAGGATTTCTCAGTCCCATCTCTTTTCATTTGATTTTTTTTGTGTGTGTGATACAGTAGATTGAACCCAGAGCCTTTACACTGAACTACACCCCCAACCCTTTTCTAACTTTTTATTTTGAGATGGGGTCTCACTGAGTTGCTAAGTTACCCAGGCTGGGCTCAAACTTGGCAATCCTCCTGTCTCAGCCTCCCAGGCATGCACCACCACTGCTTTCTCCTCTCCCTTCTCTTCCTCCCCACTCTCCTTTCCTAACTTTGCCTGGTTCTGCAGTTGCTTATTGTTTCTGATCTCAGACTAGAGTGAGTAGGAGAAACTAGAGGGTGGGGGAGGGTAAGGAGGGAGCTGGAAGCCCAGAGTAGGGGGAGGGTCAACCCAGTTGGAAGGCGAAGGAGAGGGAATGGGTAGGAGCGAGGGGCGTGCTCCTGGTGCTCATGGCCTTAGAAACCAAAGTTTTAGGTGTTCCCCGAGGGGGTCAACTTTCTGTCACTGCCCTTTGATCTCCAGAGCAGTTTGGTTGGAAGTCAGGTTGGAGCCCCATGGAGTATTCCAGTGAGTTTGGGGTACCGTTGTGGGGCCTTTTCCATGTTTCACTGATATGCAGGTGATGAGTTTTCATTTCCTACCATTTATATTCAGGAAGTTTGATTTTTAGAGGGAAGTTCCTAAAATTTGGGCCATAGATAAGTGAGCAAAGCAACAGAATTCAAATGCTGGAATTTTCCTTTTGAAATGGAGGCAGACTT